TTGAGCTATAGTTCTTTAGGTATTCTGGATATTAACTCCTTAACAGATACATGATGTGCAAATATTTTCTCATTCCATAAGTTGCCTATTCAGTCTGTTATGTTTTTTGATATACAGGTTTTAATTTAGATGCAGTCCAATTTCTGTATTTTTACTTTTGTTGCCTGTGGTTTTGGTGTCATATTCAATGGGTCCTATTACTTTCTAAAGTGTTTTTAATGCAACAATCTGAGAGAGATAGAACAAAAAATAGATAATTCTGGGTTTAAACAGAGTTTCCCAAAGAGTCAACATTGATGCCTAATTTATCCATACTATGCTCATTTTCCCTGGAACTACATATATTCTGTTTTCTTCTCCATGATACAACTTAAACATCTAGTTCAGTCTGTTCCTTTTTGTTTGTTTAAACCCAGGCCATTAAGCTAAACCGCTAGCCCTATTTCAAAGCTATAGACATTTTGCTTCTATACATTCTTAGAGTCTTGATTCTATCAAATCATACAGTGCTACAAATGATAACTTCTTTGAAAAAGTCTCTTTAGTCTTAAGTCTAAATTACCTTTTGGCTTTAAACTGTGCTATTATATAATTCAATAGATGTGTCTCTGTTGAAAAGAAAAAAGACTCTTCTGAATTTACTCATTCATGCCCTCCCACATGTCCCAGTAATAGAGAATCACACTTGTACAGTCAGCTTTCTTCCTTCTTGCCTTCCACCACTGGTTTCCTGATTCAGTTTCTGTTGGCTCCAAACAGTCTTCTGCTTTGACTTGAAATTCTTCCATAATGCTTATTGGGTCACTTCTTTTCTCTTTTCAGGGAAGTTTCTATAAGTTCCATCCTCAGGAAATCCTATTTTCTCTGAGGACTGGCTTCTCCTTTGCCCAATGCTTCTTTGTTCTGTTAGAACTTCAGCATTATATCAAGATTGACAGCATTTGGTAGACAGCTGTGCCAAAGGGCATCATGCAAATGAGGCAGAGCAACACCACTGCAGGAATCCAGGGATTGAAATAGGTGAAATGGCTTCCCACTAGGAAACCAGGTGAGATTTGAATGGACCATCATATGCCTAACTGAATGCCAATCGTAACTCCTCTTTCTCCCTCAGCATTCACATTAGCAAGTCCTCTCTATTTTATTACCCCAATATATCTAAATTTTTCTACTTCTTCCATCACCACTATCAATAGCTCAGTTCAGGGTTGGGGGTAAAGCTCAGTTGTAGAGTATGTGCTTAACAGGCTGAAGGCCCTGGGTTTGATCCCTAGCACAGGAAGGAAGGAAGGAAGGAAGGAAGGAAGGACGGAAGGAAGGAAGGAAGGAAGGGAGGGAGGGAGGGAGGGAGGGAGGGGAAAAGTTCAATTCAGACCACTATCATCTACACTTGGCTTTTCTCTTGACACTCCTTTGTACCAATATCTTTTGACTACAGACCAATTTGATCTCCTTTCTTCTCCAATGATAAATGACATTTCACCCATTTTCTCATTTCATTCAACCCTTCCAAAAATCCTAGAATTATTAGCCCCATTTTACAGATGAGGAAAATTAGGTTCAAAGACATTGTCTAAGAACTTGTCTAAGATGACTCCATGTTCAAGAAATGGAAACACAATTTAAAGCTAAGACTTCAAACTCTACCTCTCCTTAATTACAAACACATATTTCTGATTCATTTCTTGTCCCTGTAGAGAATCCCAACTCAAAAATCTGGCTTAAAAGGGAAAGAAAGCCTCGTCCCTATACTCAGATGCAAAATCCTATGTTAACATTGTACTGTGTGACTTGTCAATACCCCCCCCCCCTTATTTTTTTGTGGTTCTGGGATCAAATCCAGGGCCTCACACATACTAGGCAAGTATTATACCACTGAGCTATAACTCTAGCCTGTCTCTCCCTTTTTCGTGGTTTATACAAGGGGTTAGCAAACTATAGTGTGCAGACCATAGTTTGGCTTATGATTCAAGAATGGTTTTTACATTTTTACACAGTTGGGGAAAAAAATCCAAAGAATAATATTTCATAAAATATGAAAATCACATAGAATTCATTATCCATAGTTTTATTAAAATATAACTATGAGGAGCTGGACACAGTGGTGCATGCCTCTAATCCCAGTGACTTGGAAGGGGCAGGAGGATCTCAAGTTCAAAACCAGCCTCAGCAATGGCGAGGTACTAAGCAACTCAGTGAGATCCTGTCTCTCAATAAAATACAAAATAGGACTGGGGATGTGGCTCAGTGGTTGAGTACCCCTGAGTTCAATCCCCAGCACCCACCCCCCAAAAAGAAATACAATTATGATATTCATTTACATATTGTGTATGGCTACTTTCAACCTACAACAAAATTGAGTAATTGTGACTATATGGCCCATAAAGCCAAAAACATTTAATATATGAGTGATTACAGAAAAAGCTTGCCAACCTCTGGTCTATATTCCAGAATTCCCCCTTGTTTCTCTGTAATTTAGTAGTCCTTTGATATCAAGCCATGGCTGGCTGAGATACATGTGCTATCTTACCTCTTAGCTTCTAGTCCTGACTTTGTTCTGTCTTGCTGTGAGCCACATCTACCAAGCATGACAATACGAAAGAGAAAGACAAGATAAAATTTGCAAGCAAGTGTGATCAATGATAGTCACTCAATTGCTTTATAAGCTTTTTAAATCTCAGTACAGAAAAACATGATAACTTTCCCAAACTTGCAAGACTAGAGAAAAGTAGATATAGGATTCAAATCCAACAGATTCTTAACTACTGTACACTATTATCTCCCTAGGAAGCTGAAGATCTTGGTAATCCCAATGCCAACCTAGAATTCTAGGTACTGTTAAAATCCTCAGAAATAGCCTATCTAAAAGTAAAAGACTTTATTGAATTCTTTTCACATGCTAATCACCACAGAAACATTTTGTATGTGTATGTGGGTGTGTATGTATGTGTGTATGTGTGTGTGTTACTGACTAGGGATTGAACCCAGGGCCTCACACATGCTAAACAAGCACTCTATCACTAAGCTACATCCCTAGACCTAAAAGGCATCTTATTTAATCCTAGTATCCTAGATAGGGGAGATGTATAACTCATATTTTTACAACTATAAAAGTGATGGCAAAAATGATTAAGTTCCTGGATTATACCAGTGGGGTGGTGATGGGTTTGGGGGCCCTCAGATATGCAAACGTATAATTAAATTCCCTACACCTGATCTGAAGTTGATAACAAGCCCTAACTTTCCATTCCTGGAAGAGAGGGAAAAAAATATTTCTAGGTAACTCAGTTCAGATATAAAATGTAGCAATCAAAGGTGTTTAACATTATTAATCATCTGGGAAATACAAATTAAAACCATAAACTGATGCCAGCACACACATCTTAAGAGCTTAATTAAAATAAGAAAGGCTTTACTAGATATAGACATATTGTGACTAGAACTTGCATTTACCACTGGTAAGAGTGTCCACTGGTATAAACACTTTGGAAAACTGCTTGCCAATATGAATGCTATGCTGGAGTTTATATGTACTAGCTTACAGAGAAATTGCTAAATTTTTAGGTATCATGTGAGCTAGCTGACTTCACTTTGGTTGCCTGAAAATATGCAGAATGGGAATATAACACTCAGAAACTAGTAATCAGCACCCACCCCAGAGCCAGTTGTCAAAATATACCAGCACGCCACTGGGCAGTATTTACCAAAGCTCTACCTACATATATCCTATGACCTTGCAAATCCACTCCTAGGCATATACCCTATAGAAATGTTTACATATATTCACCAAAACTCATATATATGAATATTCATAGTAGCACTAATTGAAACAGCTTTAATCCAGAACCCAAATATCTCTAAACAGAATAAATTAATTGAGTCTTGTTCATTCAATGGAACATAATGCAGTGATAAGAATGAAAGAACTACTGCTACCCACAAGTCCCCAGCTGAATCTCAAAACATACAAAACCAATCTCTGGTATCAGAAGTCAGGGAAGAAGTTATTATTGGTAAAAAGGGAAGGAGATAATGAATGGATGAGAAACAAGAGGATTGGGAGGTACTCAAATTGTCCTTGATTTCTAAGTATTTGTTATGTAACTGTGTTTACTTTGTGAAAATATCTCAATAAAACATTCAATTTCAAAAATCAATCACTTTCATAATTGTATATCCATATGCAAGCAAAAATAAACTTCATCCCCTACATAAAAACTAAAAGTGGATAGTAGATTTAAATGAAAAAAAAAAAAAAAAGCTGTATCACTTTAAAAAGAGAAAAGAAAATCTTCATTACCTGGGGTTATGCAGTCTTTAGACATGACACCTAAAGAATGATTATTAAAAAAAAAAAAAAGATTAATTAGATCTCATCAAAATTAACCTCACCTCACTCTGCAAAAGAAACTGCTAAGAGAATGACAAGCCATGAAATAAGAGAAAATATTTATAGATCATGTATCTAACAAAGGAAATTTACCTAGAATATATTTTCTGATCTTGAAAATGTAGTATAGTTTTGCAAAATGTTACTGTTAGAGAAAGATGAGTTACAGTTACACAGGACCCTGAAACTATTTTCACAACTTCTTATGGGTCTACAATTATTTTAAAACAAAGATTAATTTTTAAAAATGAATATGAAGAGTTTTGCCAACCAGACTGCCTATTTTCTCACATTACTGACTAGAATCCTTAGTATATTCTAATAGAATATTAATGGGGTATAATTGATAAAACTTTTCTAGAGAGAATTTGGGCTAAACCAATCAAGAGCTAACAGAATGTGTAAACATTTGAACAAGGAACTCCATTTCTAGTTTTTCATAAGGGCATAATCAGAAATGCATACAAAAATTTGCATACAATGATGCAGTTTTCCACATTTGTTTGTAATAGTGAAAAGGTGAGAAAACTTAAAAACTGGAAATAACTAGGGGACTAGTTTGTATATAATGACATACCAAGAAGATAGAATACAATGCAGCCATAAGAAGTTAAGCCATAGAAGAATATTTATTGACATGGGAAAATGTTAACAATATACTTCTATATGAAATATGTAGGATACAAAACAGTATATACAGTTTAATACCATTTTATGGAAAGAAAAATAGCCATATATACAAAATCATGCATAAGAAAAAATAATAAATGTACATACCAAATGTTTATAATGATTATCTCTATTGTGAAATTAGAAGTGATTATACAATTTTCTCATTAAATTTCACCTGCCCTGCAAACAGTATCCAGTTTATGCTTTTCTTTCTTGGTTGTGATTAGTTTGACATAATTCTCTTTAAACAGGCTGTTTCATGATCCATACCCTCAAGAACATACTTTTGGTACAGCTGTTGCTATCCCCATTTAAAAAGTATATGTGACTTGCTTTTATGTACTGGGATAAGGAGAATATTTTTAACTAACAGAACAGACTACAAAACATTATAGATCTATCCATAGCATAGATCTAGTTAAGAAAATTATTACCTGGATAATCAGAAATCCTCTATTTAATAGAAATTTCAAATAGAGATAAAAACATAATTTCATTAGGGTTTTCATTAATGATAGACTGTGAAATACTCTACCATTAATGAAGGGTATGATGAAGAATTTTGAATCTCTCCTCTTACCAGCTGACTTTAGGAAAAGAGATTTGGGGGTTTTTTATTCAGTAAAATACGGTTAGTAATTTTGTAAAAAGAATAAAAAATAAGATTTTTTTAAAGAGAAAATGAGATAATACATATAAGAGATGTTTTGTTTTCTGTAAAAACCCAAATAATGCTACATAAAATATCAAGAAAGAAATTAAAATCAACTCAGATTTGTTATTCTGCAGGAAATGTTTGCTATTTCTTCACCCTTCAGTTTTGACATACCAATATTGTAAAATTATTTTAATGTTAATAAACAGCCTCTAATTTCTTCAATAATTTTAACAATTAATACATAGGACGTACTTAACATTTCATGGAAACCAAGGTAAGTGCTCCAAATACATATAAGTTATCCTTTGAATCTTGATAACTCATAACATTAAATAATGCTGAAAAATAAGATTTTATATCTCCAAATTCATCCTAGTGTAAAGTTGTTTACTTGATTATTACTAGAAATCCCTAGTTGGCACTTTTAAAGGTGAAATATTAAAGAAAAAAAGAAAAAAATCTGTCCAGCCTCTGATGTTTTCCATGTTCTAGTACCATTTCAAAGTTGCCTCCTAATTTCTGTCCTCTCCCTTGGGAGGAGAATGCCAGACAAATCTGTGATCGACTGAGTAACTGTTAACAATTGTAATCATATCTGAAAGGGAAAAAGTTCACAACTTTTTATATCTCAAAGGTAAATTTACTGTCTAGAGGTAATTTTCATAAAATATTAATTTTTTTAAAAAGGACGACTTGCTAAGAATAGAAAAAAAAAAAAGGATTCTGTTTTCCAACTTAAAGATTTGTTCCTCTTCTCTCTACAAAATCATGGAACTGGAAAAGCTTGCTGGAGCACTGATGGGAAATGTATATCAAATTTATAACATACTCATGGCCTTACTCCAGTGTCATTCTGACACTTCTATCCCATTATACAAATGTCCCATTAAACATAGTATAGCTTCTAGCATGGTTCTAATTTTTCAATGAGGATCACAAGAAAGGTACTTTTGGGTTGTTAAAAGAAACCAGAATATTACATCAACACATTTCAGGGATGAAAGGAGCCTACTGATACTCCATATTCATTGTTTAACATTACGAGAATTAAATGAAAAAAGGCTGCAACTAGAAAATCACTTCATGAAATTACACAATCACCAATTTGTGACAGAAATCGAGGCATAACACTTAGGCTAACAAATATGTTAGATGAATTATCACTTTGACACATAACTGCAGATGGATACTGCTGGATTTTCACTTAATCAATTACTCAATGATGAACACTATAAAATGAAAAGTGACATACTTATGAACTGAAATCACAAGAAGAAACTCTCCAAGATCAATCTTCAATGAGCTCCTATTCCAATAAGCCATAAAGAGCAGTAAAAGGCAATATTCATTTAACAGTGTGAGAATCCCTATGACAAGAAATCGGGTATTTATATTCCTCTGGAGACATTTCTTCCCCACCTAACAAAGGCACTTGTCATGTACTGAAATGGACAGTTAATTCTGGTACTGCCCTAGGCAACTGTTACCTTCCTAAAATTAGATGAAGTGATGATTAAGTTCAGATTAATTCTTCCAAATAAGCCTAAAACATACATGAATATAAAATAAGTTCTCTATTTTTGGCATATGATATAACCAAGAAGGAAAAGATAATGCTGGTGTCCACAATGAATTGACTGACTTGAGCAGTCGAGGATATTCTCTCTGTACATTATATTCCTTGATGACTATGGAATGTGTGTATAATTATAGGCAAATTAACCTTTCATTTAGTTTCAGGTTTTAATGTTCACTCCTCTTCTTGTCTTTTTTTACCTTTTTGTTCTTTCCCAAACCCTTAGAGGATTCCTCCTGAAAAAGACACAAATCATTGCAGCATCATTCACATGATGATGAAAGCTTACATGTAATCATAAATATAGTCTATATATAATGGTGAGGGTATAACTACTTTGATATTTTTTGTGTGTGTCTTACAGGGCAGTTTCACTTAGTTTATTATAGCATTTTCAAGGCCATCAAGGATAATCAAGATAAATAGTGTTTAGTAGATTTATATTTGAATAATTTCAACATTATTTAATCTATTTCCATTTTCCCAAGTAAAGCAATAAAGCTTAATAAAATAGATACGAACACACTTAAAACATGAAACAAAATAAACTCAAGAGTATAAAGAAGAAAGTATCTAAAGGCATGCCCGGGGCAAAGGAAGACACTAACAGAATTTTAGAATTTTATAGACGTTTAAAGAACACCTAGTCCCATGTGACATTTACCTACAATCTCTTTGGGCCTCAATTTTAGTGGAAAACTAGTTGGTTGTTAAAAAGTTTTCCTAATGTAAACTCCATGAACCTATAAAATCAGTACTCAAAGAGATGAAGTGATCTGTTCAAGGTCACATGACTATCCTGTTCTGACTAGGGTCTAAGGGTCCAGTTTCCTAGTCTAAAGGTTTTACTAATAATGTACCCTTCACACTCTGATTCATTCTTAATTTTCTTAAGAAACTAGATACTGGGGCTTGGAATGTAGTTCAGTGGTACAGTGCTTGCCCAGCATACGCAAGGCCCTGGGTATGATCCCTAGCACCACACACACCTGTAATCCCAGCAGGTCAGAAGGCAGAGCAGGAAGATCCCAAGCTCAAGGCCAGCCTCAGCAATTTAGCAAGGCCCTAAGCAATTTAGTGAGACCCAGTCTCAATATAAAAAGCAAACAGGGCTGGGGATGTAACTCAGTGGTAAAGTGCTCCTGGGTTCAACCCCCAATGATAACAACAATAAAAAGACAAACAAACTAGATATCAATAACAACTTACAGGTGAACTTGTATAGTTCTTCTCCACCAGTATGTTTCTGGCACAGTTGTTGATATGTTTAAAGCGATCTGGTCCTAGCAGAATCCCTCCATACCAGCGTGATACTACCACCATGACATTCCTCACATTCAAAATCTGTTATTTCCAGAAGCATAATTAGATACACAGATAACATGCACAAATGTGTTTTTAAAAAGAAGGAAATAACCCACATATAAAATTGCACATAAAATTTCCCAGTGATCTTAATGGCAGAGTCATATGAGTATGCACTAAGATAACTAACAATTCAAGGGTAACACATTGGAATAGAAGGGGATTTGGAAAACCAAAACCATGTTCCAGTGTCCTTAAATTCCAAACTTTGGGGCAACATGGCAGAGTAAACAGGAGGGGAGACCATGCAGGCAGAGTTTTAATTCCTGATGACTTCAACCACAATAGCACATTTTAGGTAGTCTTTTTACCACTAGGCCAAAATGACAAAAAAATAAAATAAAATAGTCTGCTTCTGAACAAGCTCTGGGAGAAAATGGGCTGCACACGTAATCTAATGCCTACCAATAAAGTCTTCATCAGTTTGACATTTGTCAAATGCTGCCCTTAAAGTGAAGCCCACCAATGTACAGGCCCACATCAGAGTTCCTATTCAAGGGAAAGGCTTAGTTAAGAAACAAAGCTCCATATACTTTAGCAGAAGAAACCACAGTAACTACCTTAGGAAAAAAACAATCCATTCTTAAAATTAATGCACAATCAATGATCACCAGACAGATGAAGAAAATCCAGCAGCATGAAAGAGAAAGGACAAGATAAACAAACTAAAATGGATCAGGAAACATTTAAGGGTGAGGACATCTGGGGGAAAAAGCTCTAATTAATATATGTAGAGAAATTTAGAAGATAATGCATCCATAAAACCAGAACAGGATTCTATGAAAAAAGAAAAATAGTGAGCAAGAAAAACTTTTAAGAATTAAATACATGGTTGCTAAAAAAATTTTTTTTCTTAATTCAACAGAAACTTTGAAAGACAGTTAAGAAAATGTCTTGGAACATAAAGACTATGAGATGGACAAGTTAATTTTTTAAAAGAAACATTTTCCATTAATACAGAAGTTCTAATATTCAACTAATAGGAGATCCACAAAGATAAAACAGAAAAGAGAAGAGGAAACTGTCCTAGAGAGAGAGAAAGAGAGAGTGTATCCTTAAAGTTGAAGAAAATCTTCTATTGTCTATACCTTGAAAACAAAGCACTGGTTATAAACCATTTGCTTTCTCCCCTGTAACCAATCATTAAAATTTTCAGTTGATGTTTAAAAATTAACTATTAATTTATAACATTTAACTGATTTATTTATTCCTAAATGGAGCTCTTTTATTGAGAAATTTTATGGCTTGTACAGAATAGGTCTCACAAAGTTTAACTTAACACCTACCTCCATGAGATGGAGAAGACGCCCGCCAGCTGCTGTTTCCCCATCATCCTCACAGTCCTGCAAGAAGGTCTGTTTATCCTCACAATATATCCTAGAAATACATGTAACGAGGTTACACTCTGAAACTGAAAGTATTATAGTGGAAGTCACAAGATACTTGTTGTAATCAATTTGATTACTTCCAAAATTTTTGTTTTAAAAAATTGTTCTTGAAAATTCATGGATAATTTACTATCCAGTATGTTTCACCTTTTTAAAAAATATATATATTTAGAAAAACTAAGAGTCAAAGGTGTCTCCTGTATATCAGAGATGCTACTTTTATGGGAAATTTTATCTACACACGACATTTCCCTTAACATCAAATCTATGAGTAATAAAGAGCATTCACTGAAAAATATTTATTGAGAATATACTATACAGAAATATAATGATAATCACTACAAAATGGTATAAAAAAATAACAGCATACTCCTGTCTTCAAAAAGCCTAAGATTCAGTGAAACAAAAATCACATAAGATTAATACAACCATAAGTCAATATTTCATATTTTCCTCTCATTCCATCCATCAATCATTTCTTTCTTTTCCCCTTTCTAAGTAGGAATTAAAAGACTTATTTTTCTCTTTAAAATCTGTTCCAGGATGCTTATCAATATTAGAGATAATCATGGTATTTTTATTATTTAAGTCACTGGAAAAGTTATTCAGAATAATGATGCAGAGTAACATCATTATTAGTAGAATAAGCTTGTCAAATAAGTGTTATAGGTAAATATATATAAATATAAATACATTATTTATATCTTTTATATTGTTTTATATTTATAGTTAACAAATAAGCATATTAAATATAAAATATATAACATATTTATTAGTGTGTTCTTGTGTAGTACCAGTTTAGGCCTGCCATCTAGTGGATTTTTTAGGCCCCTACAATGATATCATGTATGACTAATGATATCATGAAATGACTAATGTGGTAAAGATACCTGCCCAACTACAGCCATAAAATGTTGGAGACTTTTAAAATAAACATAAAAAGCTATAAAAGCTCATCTACATACATAATTCAATTATATTAATCATAGATTACAGTAATAATATTCATTCATTCATCCTTCCATCCATTTATCTATTCATCCATTCATTTATTCATCCAAAAATACTGACTACTTACTATGAGTAGGCTCTATTTTTATTCACAGTTGACCTCATATAAGGAACAGTGAATTAGTACTATTAAACAAAAATTTATATGACAAATTTAAGAATGACGAAAAGAAGCCAGGGGTTGGTTTAGATTAGATTTGCAATTATAATCTAATCCCATTATTTTATGGAACAAATGAAGAAAATTTGACTATTTAAATCAGTACTGTTAGATTATAGGGAAAAAAAGGATCTATAGAAATTTTCACTAACCCTTTCCTCACATGCCAGGAAGATGATGACATAGCATCCAACAGCTGTGTGTACAGTAGCCTGAAGAACGCCCCACAACTACAAAAGGAACACAGCCCAGTACCAGGCAGTGACGTCTTAAAAGGACCCTATGCATTCAAAATATACAACTCAAAGTCAAAGAAGTTCATTGTTTCTACTCCCAATGGGTTCCCCAAGCCTCCACTTAGTGTCTTTTTAGTGATACACAATCCTGACAAGTTCAGTTCTTTCATTTCCAAAAATCAATTACAGAAGGGAGGCTGAGGAAGAAATAATCAGAAAACTGGGGCCTGAAATAGAATAATCAGCACATATTTTTTGATAACTTGGGTCAACATTATGTACAAGGTTGTTGAAGCCACATAGGAATAAAATAAAAAGAGGTAAAATTGAATTACATTTATTTTAATTATTAATCATGTAACAATAGGATCTTTAAAAAGATAATATTTGGTACAATTGCTGAAATAATCATAATTAATTTACATAAATTGTTAAGTGTGCACTAAATAAGCATGTGGAATTAACAAATGGTAACTATTATTAATAATTTTTACAGCACAAACCACTGAGAGCAAAGTTTAATCATTCATTTTCACACCAATGGCCTTAAATCATTAAGAATATATTAAAATTCTGTTCAGTAATACTGTTTAGAAGAAAAGTATATAATTAATACGCATTTAGCACCACAAAAAAATAAATAAATAAAATTAAAATCTCACATCTCCAAAGTACTACTTTTCAATGTGAGTTTTGAAGAGCCTAGGTTTTAAAATAGGTCTCAATCGAATTTTAATTTTGCACCAAATCCCTGTATTTATATTCTTTTATTTTAGGCCTAAACTATGTCCTTAAGTTGTCTTATGTTGCATATTAAAAAATATACCCTTTATGTCTTCATTTACAAATCAGCAGATTTGTATACATTAGTATTCAAAACTAAATGTGGTAAAAGAAGCACTCTTAATCCACTCCTCACAGGAGCGTAAACTTTTGAAAACCACTTTTGGAAAAAATTTAGCAATATGAGTGAAGTTTCAAAAACGTTCATGCTTTTTAATAATTCTACTCTTTAAGAATTTATTCTTATGCACAAGGCCCTGGGTTCAATCAATTCAATTTTGGTTCAGCACCACCAAAAATAAACAAATAAATAAATAAAATTCAGTTAAAAAAAAAAAAAAGAATATGACTTTTTTTTTCTAATTATAGCCCATTTCACTAAAAAAAAAGTTCACGTACTATTATTATTTATAATGTTGGAAAATATGAAAAGCTAAAGCAAAAAAGAAATGTTTAAATAAATTGTGGTATGGAGCCTCAAATAAATAACAGTAATTAAAATACTATTTATCAAGTAGTTCTAACAACCTGGGAGGATGCTTTTGTTAAATTAAGAATAAAGAATATAAGGGTAAACCACTGAAAAAAATTGTTTGCATAGAAAATATATAAAACTACAGTTGACATTTAAAGTCAGAAAATGCTAGATTTTCCCTCCAATTCTTTTTTCCCCCCTTTTCTGCAGTTTCCAAATATTCCACATAGCTATCACTATTATAATGGAAAAAAACACATATAGTGGTTTTTTAGTTATGCATCATTTCCCAACCCTTGTTTACAAATTGCATATTCCAAAAATTGTGATAATCACTTACCTATAGGCATAAATGTTGTGGGTGGCACTAGCTATTTTCTTATTCTCATACAATTTGGCAAGAACCATTTTCACCTTCAAAACAGCAATAATATAAAAAAGATAATGTATGCTTTTCATTGGTTCTGTGAATAAATGCTAGAAAAAAATATCTTAAAGCATATTAATATTAATATTGTATTAAAATAAACAGTCTTTTAAAGCATCTTCTAGATTCTGAAAAGGCCATTTCCAAAGTTTCCTCCTCAGTGTAGGGACAGAAATGAGTACTCTCAATCAGTATAAAAATGACCGACCTGGTATTTTTTTTAGCACTAATTATCAACAGATTAGTTTAGGCATGAACTGTCTGAGGCTTTGTATATGAAAAATTCTTACCCATACAGAGAATTTTAAATGCAAATGTAAAAACTTCTAAACATCAGCTCTGAAATTTACTCAATGCGGTAATTATATGATAATGATATGTTCCAAGTGTGATAAGTAGACTCAGGTCTTAGAAAATAACTGGCAGTTCTTTTCCATCAAAAGGGAAGAAGAGCTGGGTGTGGTGGTGCATGTTTGTAATCCCAGCAAGTCAGGAAGCTTAAGCCAAGAGGATTGCAATTTCAAGTCCAGCCTGGGGAAATTGACAAGACTCTGTCTCAATATAAAATTTAAGAAGGGTTAGAGGTGTGTCCCATTGGTATGATGTATGGTGTGCCTGCATTTAATCCCAAATACCGAGAAAAGCAGGGCAGGGGGGACAAGAAGACGACATTCTGCTCAGAGGAAACAGCATGTGCAATACACACATGCAATATAATATGACCAGATTTAGCAAATAAAAATAAAGGACAGGGGCTGGTGTTATGACTCAGAGGTGGAGCACTTGCCTCGTGCGTGCAAGGCCCTGGGTTCGATCCTCAGTACCACATAAAAATAAATAAATAAAATAAAGGTATTGTATCCAACTAAAACTAAAAAATAAATACTAAAAAAAAAAATAAAGAGCACTGAGTTAAGTTCAAATTTCAGATAAACAACAAATATGGATCAATATAAACAAACATAAGTAAAAATATGCTCCCATGTTATAATGTTTACCTGAAATTCAAATTTAACTAGATATTCTAAGAGAAACATAAAATGAAAGGTTCAGAAAATTTCATGTAGCTGTTATTTAAGAAGAAGAATGAGATGATATGTGTGTCAGGAATGATAAGCTAGGATCATATTGCAAAAGAAGTTTACATTTTCCCTTGTAGACAACTGAAATCAGCAAAGATTATGTATGTGAGGGAGAATGGGGGAGTGAAGAGAATAAAATGTGATCATATTTTCAGAAGACTTGTAAATGGCAAGGAGTATGAAAGAAATACTGGAGGCAGCAAAAACTGAGCTAAAATTGTACAGGCCAATTTGAACCATTAATTCCACAATCTTGTCTTTATCATTTTATAACCCTTTAGATTCTCAGACTGTGTGTGTGTGTGTGTGTGTGTGTGTGTGTGTGTGTGTGTGAGAGAGAGAGAGAGAGAGAGAGAAAGGAGAGACAGAAACACTAGGTATTGAACCTAGGGTTTTGCACATGCCAGGTAAATGCTCTGCTACTAAGCTACATTCCTAATCCTTCTTATTTTTAATTTGAGACATTTCTGAGGCTGGCCTTGAATTTGCCATCCTCCTGCCCCAGCCTCCCAGAGTAGCTGGGATTACAGGCATGCATCACGATACCCAGCTTCAGTCAATTGATCCATAAAGTAAAGTAGGAAATGACCGCTATGATTTGTTTCAATGCTCATATAGTTTAAGTGACTATGATGAAAAACAAAAAGAGGATCCAGGATGAACAGATTCGGAAACGAACGTCTACAAGGGACCTTGATTGAAGGGTAAAGAAAAAAAACAGGATTCCAGAAGAGGAAAGACCAGAAAGCTACATCGAAAGCTTGGTTTTAATCACAAATCTATGTAGAAAAGAACTTCCTCTTCTAGAGATTAAAAGAGAAATGAAAGACCTAGTACAAATAACTGTATTCCTAAAAGGTCTTTTCAAAGAATTTCAAGAGGAGAACAGAAAACCAAGGGAAGACACAGATCCCTAAAACTTGTGGTAAATAATGAGACATTATTATTGTTTTATTATTATTATTATTATTATTATTATTATTGTTATTATTTACTTGTATACATCAAATTGGAATTGCCTCATACATCAATTAAGTTTAACCTGGACTATATTATAGCAACAAGAAAGAAGAAAAGGATTTTTGCTAAAAAGAGAGTGAGAAGGGAAAAGACCTAGGAATAGTTTTTGATTAAAAAAGTCCCCTATTTATCTTTTAATAGGAATAGGACACCTGAGGGAAATAAGGTATCCTAAAACCAGGAAGCAGAAAGGCCAGGAAGCAGGAAAGACTGGGCTCAGCCCTTTTGACTACTCTTCTCTTTGTTGGGCAACTGTCAAATGAACTTAGTTTCACAGAACTCCCACTAAAAAGGGCAAATAATTATTTTAAACCAACTATTAAGCATTATAATTTTCTGTAATGACAAAATGAGTTTTTCTTAGATTCACTGGAGGGTTAAGTCCCATTCAAGAGACCAAGTGCAATTTTGAAATTTGTGACCAACAGAAACAAAACTAATCTTCTATGATTCACAGTAATTTTGGAGTAGGGAAATAGTCCCAAATAATTTTTATCTTTTTTTCTTTATTTTTTAATAATTGTTTTTAAGTTGTAGTTGGGCACAATACCTTTATTTCATTTATTTATTTTTATGTGGTACTGAGGGTGGAACCCAGCACCTCATATGTGCTAGACAAGCACTCTACTGCTGAGCCACAACCCCAGCCCCAAATAATTTTTTATCTTATGTGAAAATTAAACATTAGAGCAAAAATAAAGGTATTACTGCAAAATCATTTACTTGACTTACTTTGGCAAAATAACATCAAAGTGAGCTAACTTTACCTGTTTAGGACAAACTACAGGAGCCAAGTGGGCCTGAAAAGTACTTCTTCGGTCAGTAATAGGAATGCCATGATCAATCGGAGGTAATTCTTCTATTTCTATAAATTTAAAGAATAAACTTGCTTTATTTTTCAAAGTCTTACATTCAAATACTGAAAAACTGGCAAAGGGGGAGAGGAAATCAGGCAATAAATTTAAATTATACAGCAAATTAAATAATTACATTAATAATTACTAAATTTTAAAATTTTTTAATTTACCAAAATTAAATTTAAATTATAATTTAAGTAAAAAGTCTCAAATGTATATAAGATAAAAATACTTGATTTATAAATGCCAGTGTCACTCAGTGGAGATAGTAGGATTGAGACTCAAATCTTGAAGTATTACAGCAAACAAAGTTGGTATGACATATAATAATACGATATGTAGTTTTTTTAATAATACAATGTGTAGTTTTTAAGAGTGTAAAGATTGACAGCTGCTAATATACCCCTACTTCCTTATTCATCTATGGACACAGACCTCCGAGTTGAGAAATCTGTTACTTTAAATTGTATAGCTACAATATATCTCCTTATAACAAATATTTCCATTTCTTAAAATGGAATACATCAATACTATAGCCAAATGGTATTCCATGAAGAGTACTATGATGCCAGTTATTGTGTCTCTTCAAAAAGTTTAAGCATCATTAATTAACCCTTAAATCTGGTGAGAAATTTAACCATCCTGGTTGCTACTAACTGCCTCATTTAGGATGAAGTTAATGAAGAAAAAAAATCAGGTTTTGGTAGGATGCTATTGCCTTTTTTTTTTTTTTTTTTCAGTGCTAGAGAATAAACCTAGGGCCTTGTGCATTCTAAGTGCTCTACTACTGAGTTACATCCCCTGTTCTGCCCTCTTCTTGAATTGCTTTTGGCCTCTATACTGATACAAATAAATCAAATATAGCATACAAGTCAACATGAATTACTGACCTATTGGTGCTATTTATGATAACTGATTTTTCACCCTTTTTCTTTAAATGTTGGATCCTGCTTCCCAGAAGTCTTATGTCAAATCCATGAATATATAAATGATTAAAATGGAGCTACTTTGGTTGAAGCACAAGTAGGAGCTCTGGATCCTCTCGCCCGCTTTCATTTCTACTTCATGCTCTTTTGCTAGCCCTGGAGCACCACCTTTCAAAAACCTTAAACTTTCAGAATACTGTTTTTAAAAGCTACTGTAAAATAACATAGTAAACTGCTCATCTTCTAACCAAACGCATATTTCCTCTGGTCTATAAATGTTTTTGTAAGAAACTTAAAAGAAACAGATGATAATATTGAAAATTTTTAAATATGAGAACATGCTTTCTCATATGCACATAGAGCTATATACACATCAACCTATTTATAAGTTGAATACTACTGTGAAACAAATTTGCTGAAACAAAAATCAAATTTTTAACGGTATTTTACTAGCTTTATTTCAGTAGTTCTACTTTCCATGTTACCTTATTTATGTTTGTGAGCATAGATTGAAGTCCAAAACATCAGGAGAAAGTTGAAATACAAAAACAGAATATGAACTGAAAACATTAACAGCCTTTTTTAAGTTTTGATATCTCCCATCATTAAGTCAAAACTCTATAAAGCCAGGGTAAAAAAGGAAATTTCTATTTTTTTTCCTCACCATTTTGACAGACCTGGGAAAACACCAAAATGGTCAACAGGAAAAAAATAAATCTGTCTGCAAATTAATAACTACTTCCTAACACCTGAGTGTTTACTAAATTTCCATAAGATGCCAAAGAATAATTCACAACACTATCGCCCCACACTCCTCATAAGAAACTACTTAGTGACATTATACCTGGTTGATTTTCACTGATATCAAAATCCAATGCTTTCACTGGGTTCTCTGGCTGACATGCTAAAATGAGATCGTCTTCACATTCAACATCTTCCTCTTCAGTTTTCTTCTTCACATCTGGGCCTATGTGGATATGAGACTTCATGATTATAAAAAAGCAATTATAAAATCACTCTTACATAAACATAAGGTCTTACAAATTGGTGTGAGTATACTATGTATACAACCAGAGAAATGAAAAATTGAGCTCTCTATATGTAATAATAATTGTAATGCATTCCACTGTTATATATAAATAAAAATAATTAATTAATTAATTTTTTAAAAAAAATTAGGTCTTGACTCTGAACACCATTCTTCAACAGAAGGAATCAGAATTCCTCTTCCTCACAACAGAATTCCAATGAATAAATGAAGAAAACGGAGAATCATCATTAGGCAAACAACATAGTAATAACTACTGCTGACAGAATCTTCTGATTGATACTAAAATGTAAATGAAAGTAAGGAACAGGATATTAGCATAGCCTTGGCACATGCCTATAATCACAGCTACTCAGAAGGCCAAGGCAGAATGATCATGTCAGTCCAAAAGTTTAAGGGACATCATGTCTCAATTAAAAAAAAAAAAAAAAAAAAAGAACTTCCCATAAGACACAAAGGAAAAGTTAAAAGGTATTAATTATGATAGTTCTTTTACATGTTAACTTGGGTACCCAAGTCAGGGTACACAGATATTTGGCTAAATGCTCTTCTAGATGTTTCTGTGCAGGTATTTTTTTTAATGAGATTAATATTTAAATCAAATGACTCTGGGTAAAGCAGACTGCTCTCCATAACAAAGGTGGACCTTATTCATAAAGAATGACCTCCCCAGAAGAGTGAATTTTCCCAGCAGACTACTTTTGGACTGAAACTGCAGCATCAGTTCTTCCCTGGTTCTCCAGCTGCTGGCCTACTCTGCAGATGTTAAGACTTGAAAGCCTCCACAACTGTATAAGCCAATTCCTTAAATCTCTTTCTCTGTACACACAAAGACACACAGACATATACACACACACGAACATACCCATTTCTCTGGAAAACCCCAACACAGTAACTTAAGAGTGGAGACATCTGGCACACACCATCTTAACCAAAGGATCAAGGTAAGCATCATCAATAATACATCAGACTGATATTATGAACTCCTGGAAATGATGTATTTATACAGGACACAATATCATCTTTGTGGTATTTTTGCCAAAAATAGCTAATCTTATTCCAATCATGAGAAAACAACTAGGCAAACCCAAACTGAGGGGTATTCTACAAAATACATGATCAGTACTTTTCAAAAGGGTCCAAGGTTATAAAAGTAGAGGAAAGAATGAGGAACTGATTATAGAACAGAGTAAAGAGAAGTCATAATTAAATACAATGCAGAATCCTGGACAGGGTCCTAAAGCAACAGAAAAGGCATTAGTGGAAAAACTGGTGAAATATGAATACGCTCTTTGGTTTACTTCATAGTACTGCACTATGTTATTGATATTACAGCAAGGTAATGTATGATGTTAATAGGAAGTTAGGGTGAAGAATATAAAACAGCTCTTTGTACTATTTTTACAACTTATCTGTAAATTTGAAGTCAGTTCAATTTTTTTGGTGAGTGGGGGGTACTAGGGACATAACCAGAGGCTCTAAATCACTGAGCTACATCCCCAGCCCTTTTTATTTTTTATTTAGAGTCAAGGTCTCAATAAATTGCCAAGGATCTCACTAAGTTGCTGAGGCTTGTCTCAAACCTGTGATCCTCCTGTCTCAGCCTCCAGAGTTGCTGGGATTATAGGCATGTGCCCTGGCAAGTTAGTTCAATTTTTTTTAAAAAATTGGAGTTATATATAATTACTTCAAATTTAAAATTTTTATTCTAGAAAAACAATAAAGAATAAATTTGTACTTGTTAACAGTAAAATAAAGATAAACTATTCCCTAAAGAAGAAAATTCTCATCCTGATCACTATCTCTTACCCTTATTAGTTCTTCAGAATTATTATTAATCCTTCCATTTTAATGTAATATCAGCAAAAACAAATTTTTGTTTTTATTTAATTTATTTATTTTTATTTGGTGTGAGGATTGAACCCACTGCCTCGCACATGCCAGGCAAGCACTCTACCACTGAGCCACAACACCAGCCCCATGCAAAACAATTTTATTTATTTTATTTTTTGCTATTGGGGATTGAACTCAGGGGCATTCAACCACTGAGTCACATCCCCAGTCCTATTTTGTAGTTTATTTAGAGACAGGGTCTCACTGAGTTGCTTAGCACCTTGCCATCGCTGAGGCTGGCTTTGAACTCGAGATCCTCCTGCCTTAGCCTCCCGAGCACTGGATTATAGGCATGTGCCACTGCACCTGGCCCCAAAACAATTTTAAAGAAAAAACCATCAAATTTCTAAAAATTCAAAATTATGAATTATACAACACAAATCAAGAACCCTAAAACTTGAAAGAGTGACTTAACTATATACTGTGGTTGCAGGTGGAAAAAGGAAAATGTCAATTTTAAGATTAAATTTTCAAATTTCCTAAAAGTTGAGTACTCCAAACTTTGGAGTACTAAATGTTTATTGATATACATTCCATTTCTGCACTTGTTCTAACTCTAAAGGCAGGCTGGCAGAAGTTATTTCTGTTTGGGGAATTTTGAAATCACTTTTCTCACAGATCCCTAAAATGCTGCAAAATCAGAACATGTATTATAAAAAATTGAGGAAAATATTTCAAAATTAATTATTATATGGTTTTAATATCTTTGTCATTTACCTCTGATTTTATAAAAGCAATAAAAATATCTGTCTCTATAAAAAAATGAAAAATTCTCTAAAAACATATATATACTATTATCAACTCTAAATGTAAACTAATTTTGCTGAGGGAGGCCTAAAGAATTGGTTCTCTGTAAATAACCCTCTAAACAATTAGTAAGAATAAGCTACTGGATTTTTTAAAAATCCTTTTGGCCTCCAAATTAAAAATAATTCTACCAGTGGTATCAATAAAATGCTATTTAAAAGTACTTTTAGAGTTATTTTTATCTCTAAAAAGTCTTTTGTGGTAAATGGAACAGACTACTAAATGTGAACAGGAGACATTAGAGATTTCTATGTTGTCATAAGCTTAATGAAAGATTAATAAAAAGCAAAATATCAATTTCCAAATGTTCTACAACTAGTGGTGATGGCTGAATTGTATACTAAAACCACTGAATTGTATACTTTAGAAGGGTGAATAATTATGGCATATGAATTATATTTCAAAAATTATACTCAAAATTAAATTCTATATCCTAATATTGGTCACTATTCTTCTCAGGTTTTTTTTTTTTTTTTTCTATAAGGAGTAGATTCATTTGAAGCTAAACTCTATTTATGTAGTGCATAATTCATGAAGAATGTTATAGAGTTCATATTACCTTAATGGAAATAAAAGAGAACAGATTTGGTCATAAGTTGTTTCACCAGAAAACTATTTCTATAAAAGTATAATATGAAAATTGCTCAGTATGGTGATGCAAACGGATAATCCTGGCAGCTCGTGAGCCTGAGGTAGGAGGATCACGAATTCAAAGCCAGCCTCAGCAACTTAGCAAGGCTTTAAGCAACTTAGAGAGACCCTATCTCTAAATAAAATATAAAAAAAGGCTGGGGATGTGGCTCAGTGGTTGAGGATCCCTGGGCTAATTCCCCAGTACCAAAAGAAAAAAAAGTATAATATGAAAATAAAGAAGATAACGCTTTAAAAAAAAAAAAAATAACCATAATTACCACAGGTAAATGAACTTTCCAGGGAAATTTTTATTATATACAAACCACACACCATAAATTTTCATGTAAAACTTCAATTAGAATATCTTTGTGAAAATTTAATTACCATAATAAGTTAAAAGAGCATTGATATATTTTTCATTCCTACCTGGTTCTGTCATCTGAGATTTTTGTATTAGCACATCTCTTATTTTCTCCACCCACAGGTAAAGAATACTTTCACCAATATTCTGTCTAAACAAAATTCAAGAGAAAAAAAAATTGTTATTTCAAAAAAAATTCCCTTCTCAAATTCAAGAAAACAGAAACATATTTACAATTCAAGACATTATTTTAAAAATCTAACCATGCCTTATTCAAAAGTATTTATAAAAAGATCACCAACCCTGTATCTGAGTATTTAATATAGATTGTTTATACCAACATTTAAAATCCCAACTAACTCCAAAATTAACTTGGCTTTACTTACAATAAACAGAAGAGTTAAAACCAAAGAAGGGAAAGAAAATTTCTAAACTTGAACTGAATGCACTAGGTAGTTCTAAATGTGATTTTGCTTCTATAAGAAGATACAGTTTCAGTATTGGTGTCTAATCACTACTTACTTTTCTAAACTTCTGAATAACTTCCAACCATTTACTCGGTACAACTTATCATTTAGGATACTTATTTCAACAAATAAAACTGCAAAGCATATGGGGAACTCCTTCATGGAGTCAATTCAGAAGATCTAAAAGATAATCAATTCAAAAGTTTTATAGCCATACCTTGTTTTTGACAAAATATCCTATTGCCTAATTGATTCCTTTGGTTACAAATAATGTTTGGCTGCCCCTGATGAAAACTGTCTCAGAGAATCACTGAGAAAAAGAAATGTGTCCTGGGTCTTAGAGACATGTCCATAGTTATGTTGCATGATGGAAACAACAATAAAGAAATGGCCAACTATCTGTTCTTTAAGTAATAACTCAAATTTTAGGTTAGTTTTAGTATGTGTTTAAAAAAATCACCCCACTACATCATAGCAATATCTTACCTTCCTTTAAAAGTTCTCCCTTGAAATTGTTCTATCATCACTTATCAGCACCCACCATTTCAAAACAAGCATGCAGAAGAAAATGAAACAAAAACTGCTTTCAAATAATTATCAAACCCTCCCTATATCAACTGAGAACACTGGTGAATTTCTTTTAAACAATGTCTACTACTATCCATTCTTCTCAAAAGAGTTCATCAGACACTCAAGATAAAATGTATTAAGGACATACTAAACCCCAGGTTCATTACATACATCAACACCTTTAATCCTTATCATTGTCTTCTGTATTACTTCCCCATAACACAAATGAGAAAATAAACTTTACAGAAATATATTAACTTATCCAAGACAGTCTTCTAAGCAATTTAAGAAGCCCAAAGCTGATTTAAGAATCCAGGACTGAGGTTCAAAGCTCAGGTCAACTGTATTTTTGCTCTCCTACAGAGAGCTATGACCTTAGGTAAATAAGCTACTTGATTTTTCTGAGTCTCAGTTTCCTCATCTATAAAATGAAAGGTTTACAGCATTTTGTTTCTAAAAGTCTATAATTCTTGCTTATAAAAAATAAAAATTTGGGGGCTGGGGTTGTGGCTCAGTGGTAGAGTGCTCACCTAGCATGCATGAGGCACTGGGTTCGATCCTCAGCACCACATAAATGTAAAATAAAGATATTGTGTCCACCTAAACCTTAAAAATAAATATTTTAAAAATAAATAAATAAATAAATAATTTTAAAACAAGCTCTTAAAGTTTAAAAAAAATGAAAAACTTCAAATGAACCTCTCTCAATTTATTCAGCAAATCTTTTTTTTTTTAGACAGAGAGAATTTTATATTTATTTTTTAGTTTTCAGCAGACACAACATCTTTCTTTCTAATGTGGTGCTGGGGATCGAACCTGGGCCGCACGCATGCCAGGCGAGTACACTACCGCTTGAGCCACATCCCCAGTCCTATTCAACAAATCTTTCAAGAGCCTCTCCTATGCATCCCATACTACCTATAGACTTGTGGGTATGATAGAGTGTGAGGTGATGGGGTTTCTTTATTCATTATTTTTAATCACTACCCTAGCAAATTATTAGTTTTACATATAACTCTATTTCCTAATCTCATGCTATTGAATTTTTACAACATCATCATCACCCTAACCAGTGACACCAGCACCTGTGTTTACTGAACATTTTCTACATAAAAGATATGTTAAAATGCTTTATGTATATTACTTTAGTTAATCCTTACATCTACTCTTTGAGACAGGAAAATCATCCCTCTGCAAATATAAACTCATATTCAGACTTAAAAAATCCTTAGAAAGATTTTTATAATTAATAAGTAATTTTTCCCCAATAACAAAGAAAATTAAAGTTTCACTCCAGATTGCCTCTCCCTTGGCCCATGGCTTCCTGCAGAGGAATATAAAACAGCACTGCTGTTCAGCATCATTTATTGGCTACTTTCTTCACTAGCATTTAATAGGACTGCTATTGAAAAGCCAGCATAAGGAAGTCACAGGGTGTGAAAGACTTCCTGCATAAAGTGAAATCATTCTTTCCCTTAGACCCAAAGGCCATTACTAAAAGCAGGATTGGGGTGGGGGCTGTCTATCTTTTGGTTTTTTGCTCATAATTGTTGTTACTCTTATATTTGTATTTTCTCTAGTGACAACAGTGTATTCCTATCTTTAAAGTATCCAAGAAAATTTGGTAAGAGTGGCCTTCAAACTTTTGCTATTGTTGCAATGAAATCTTTTACAGAATCAGAAGCCAATTAAACTAACAAAAACTGAGTCCTGTATATTAAACCTCTCATCCCCTTCCTCAAAGAGCCCTAAAGGAAGTCTAAATCCTAAGAACTCTGGTACAAAATTGGAGAACTACCCATTACAGACTGAAATGTTAAAATTTTATCTACAAAGTCAAATAATAGAAAAGAAGCTAAAGATAAAAAGTCTGCAACAAAATTTGTTTAAACTTGAATAACTGATATTTTATCTGATCTATTTGTTGAATAACTCAAATAACAATCCAATCTAGAAAGAGTACAACAAAGTTACAATTCTAATTTTACCTATGGCTCTAATATGTGTAGCTTTAATTGTATAATATTTACATTTGTTGACTTTAATGGTAAAGCTCTGCACTATAATGCTATCAGCTGTGTGACCTTAAATCACCCGATCTGGGTTTCAGTCATTACATTTTCAAAATGATAAAATTGAATGAGATGAGTCTCTTAATAAGAACAACAAAAATGATGACTACTTGCTATAGTCTCAATCTTGAATGTTCCTGAAAGGGCTACTGTTAAACGCTTGGTTTAACCCTGGGGAGGGTGGCAATCCAAGGAGGTGGCAGAGTCCTTCAGAGGTGGGGCCTATTGTGACATCCTTAGACCACTAGGCACATGTCCTTGAAGATGATTGTGAGACCCTGGCCCCTTCCTCTTTCTATTTGCTCCTGACTCATGATATAAGTAGTTGTATTCTGTCATCCACTCCCACCATGATGTATGCTGCTTCACCAGACACAAAACAAGGGGGCCAGGCTGGAATCTCCAAACCTGTGAGCCAGCATAAACCTTGTCACTTTATAAACTGGATTATCTCAGGTATTTTGTTATAGAGATGTAAAGCTGAGTAAAGCACTGCTACTGTTAACTAAAGTACATTACATGGGTTGTGTCATTTAATTTTCACAATATTATCATCCCCAGATGATAAATTGATGACAAATTTAATGATAAATAAAATTAAATTACAAAACGCATATAATTTTCACAATATTATCATCCCCAGATAATATTCTTACAGATAAGAATACAGACATAAAAAAGTCACACTACTTCCAAAACTGACTACAGAAGCCTGGTCCAGAATAGCCTTATCCTCTGCCTAAGCTTATACAGGTTACTTTCTGTTTTTATGCCTCAAGCTTTCTTTTTCTTAGAGCATTTTCTTTGGAAAACTTGTCATTGTAAATTCTTTCTCTACCTTTTAAAAATATATATGAATTGTTTTATAGAAGACCCTTGTCATATTTTATAACTCAGATACATCTCAAGAACCTGAAAGACAACCCCTAGAAATACAAACCTCAAGGAAGACAGTGACCTTATCTCTCAGTCTGTGAGCCTAACTGCAAGGGGCACCATTATAATCAGTAATAACCCAAAATGTCCGATACATCCACTGATTCACCACCCCCTAACATGCAGTACTTTTCCCATAGCTCTTTCCAGACCTTAAAAACTTTCTTGCCTTTCATTTCAGAAGAGTTAGGTAGGTCCAACTTAGCTCTGGCTTCTCCTTCCTTATCCCAATAAATTTGAAAAAAAGTCTTTCTTGTCTGTATAACTTTGTCCAGTGTAATTTCTGCTTTGACAAGCCTCACTCAACAACACTAAAACCTATGATTCCGTGATTCATTAAAATGTGAAGAACAGCCGGGATGTAAAGCATGTGCAAAGCCCAGCACCACAAACAACAACAATAAAAAAAGCTATAGGAAATTTAAAAAATTAATTCTCGGATTTTTAAAGTAAATGTTGTACCTTTAAGAGGTGAGGCCTGGAGGGAGATAAGTCAGATCACTGGGGACATGCCCTTGAAGGAGACAGTAGGACACCAGCTCTCTTCCTCTTTTTCACTTTCTAGTCATGAGATAAGTGAGAGAAGTAGTGTTCCTCCACCATGCCTACCTGCTATGATGTGTCACTAGAGGACCAGAGCAACGAGGCCAACAAAGCATAGATTGAAAACTCCAAAACTATGAGTCAAAATAAACTTTTTCTCTTCATAAACTGATTATCTCAAGTATTGTGAGAGTAAAGGAAAGCTGACTAACATGACTTGCAAAATTCCAAAAATTAACAGGTTGCCTCTCACCCAACATGATTTTGCTTTTATAGGTCCCTCTACCAGAAAAGTCCTCCCCTTTAATTACCTGGCAAGCAAAAATCTCCTTCACAACCTTATCCACATTCTCTAATTCATTACTAAAACATCAAAAAGTGCTATTGTACACAGCACTTAGTAATCTTCTCACTATATTGTATTGTTACCCATTCCTCTTAATTTTAAATCCCAAATTCCTAATAGGATGCCTAACAATGAGATGTTCCATAAATGTTTACTGGAAAAACTAGGGTTTTTTTTTCTGATTTTTTCTCTCTCTCCATAAGGGGAACTAACCATAATTTATCTTTTCACCTAGGCAAAAATCAAATTTACCATTCAAAATGATGTGAAATATATGAATCTTAATGTGATAATATTTAGGATCATAAAAACTAGAATCATTAAAAATTTACATTTATGTTATGTTTAATTTTTGAAGTTGAAAAATATTTTTCACTTGATGCCCTCTGCTGGAATTAAATGGAAAATATGATTAAAATTTGTCACAGAAAATTTTATTGTTGTTGTAATGAGGCTCAACCCAGCAGTGCCCTACCACCAAGCAACATCCTTTAGTACTAGGGACTGAACCCAGGGGTATATCACAGCCCTTTTAATATTTTGAGACAAAGTCTTACCAAGTTGCCTAAGCTGGCTCCAAACTTGCAATCCTCTTGCCTTAGCCTCCCAAGTACCTGGAATTATAGGTGTGTGACACCATGCCTGGCTTTATTTTTTATTTTGAGATAGGGTCTTACTGAGTTTCCCAGGCTGGCCTTGAATTTCAATCCTCCTGCCTCAGCCTCTCAAGTTGCTGGGATTATGGATATGTACCATAGCACCTGCTTTTATTCAAAATACCATATAATGTGTATTTCTATTTAGACCACATGTGTGAAAATAATATCACTGGACTGAAATTATTCAAACACTCTAACAAGACAATATGACCCATATTCCTTCTTTAAAACATACTACTTTATAATCTCTGAACTTTCTTAAATCTCAAATAGCTCAGAAGAACTAGTTAGGGAGAACAAGCAAGTTATGTTCTACTGAAATGTATTCCTTAGTAAAAGGAAAGACGTTGAAGATAGGGTAAAGGTAAGTGGGAAGCCATTTAAGACTGTATAACATTGCATAGGTAGGAGAAAAATCTAACTGATAAATGTGTTTAACATGATACGTGGAAAGATTTTCAAGAAAAAAGTAAGTAGTCAATATCACTAAGTTACAGAGATCAAGTAAGATAAGAGTTGAAAAATGACCATCAGATATATCAAGACATCAATTCTGATTAAATTTGCAGTAAACTTAACTTACTCTAAGACAGAATAAATTAGCAAATAAAGAATTACACAAAGAAGTTTGTTTAAGCACAAAAGTGGGAGTGGCCAGTTTAGGTTAGAGACAGATATCAAAAAACACTTAGTTGAGAAAATAACATTTATAGGCCAAGGATAAAAGAATCACTAAATGGGGACCCAAGAAAGGCACTACTTCCTTTAGAAAGGAACAAGTCAAATGGATTCCATAATGACTTACCATGTTCTAATTAAATATTTTGGGAGGAAAAGAAACCTGGCCTGGATCCCAGGGACACAAAAGGAGTACTCTCTGTACCAAATGGGGTGGCCACCTAGAACATATAATAGAATCCTTACTAGTTCCTGGATTAGGAAAAAAAAATGATATTCCAGAATATTATTTGTCTTAATAAATTTATATATATATAATTAAAATTAATCCAAATCTATCTTATCTTCTTTGTAATAATTTTTCAGCCTCCTAACTGATGTCCCACATCCATTTTCGCTGCCTTCCAATCAGTCTCCATTTTTCTAGTCTTCCAATCCTAGAAATAGGATAATCTTTTCAAAACGAAAATCTTATCACTGGCATCCTACCACTTAAAACTCTCCTCTATTTCCAATTATGTTCAGGATAAAGACAAAAATGCTTAACATAGCTAACAAAACTCCACAGGATTTTCCCTGCCTACCTCTCCAGGTCATTTCTCACCACGTTCCCTCCCTTTCTCTTCCCATCTGATATAACCATTACTGTTTCCTAAAAGGTGTCAAGCTCCCTGACACAGAGCCATTGTACATTCTGAGGCCTCTCACTGGAGTTAATGTCACCTAATTAACTTACCTCTTAGTCAAACAAGCTGCCCCTGACCTCCTAGACTAGGATAGGTCTTGTTTCAAACTCAGTTAGCATAGTACTGTCTACTTTCCTTTCATAGAATTTATCACAGCTTTAGTTTTACATTCATTTTACAATGTATAAAGACATCTTCCACCTCCCTGTGAATTCTAAATGCCCTGGAAAAAAGGAATCATTTCGGGTTTTGTTAACCATGTGTATCCAGGATTTAATACAGTGCTTGCCATGTAATATTTGTTGATGAAGGAATGAGGGAAGGAAGAAGAAAAACCATATCAATAAACTCTGAGTCTTATGGCGTAAAAAAAGAGAAATTATCTTTAAAAGCATTTGGAAGTTTAATAAATAATTATGGTTACAATTCTTCTATCAATTTCATTCTACATATGCTATGAAAATACAGTATATGTAGTGGCTAGGGAGGCTGAGACAGTAGGATCAAAAGTTTAAAGCCAGCCTCAGCAAAAGTGAGGTGCCAAGCATCTCAGAGAGACCCTCTCTCTAAATAAAATACAAAATAGGGCTGGGGATGTGGCTCAGTGGTGGAGTGGCCCTGAGTTCCATCCTGGGTACCAAAAAATATATATGTGTATGTGTGTGGGGGGCGGGGGGAGAGAGAGAAAAATCTCTGAATTTAGGTACTAACATATCACAGTCTCAGTAGGGCACAAAACAGAATCAGTAACAGAATATTTTTAATCACCTGTTACTTACATATATATTTCTTCAAGGCTGTTTGATAAATCCACACGTTCTTGCCCTTTAAGCCAAGGAGCACTAAGAATGAATAAAGCACAATGAAGAATATTTTTCAACGACTGCATTAACATTTCAAACAGAAATTACTGATTAGTACATAGGTATACAAACACAAAGAAACATTAAAATGTTTCTTTGTGTTTGTATACATCTATGTAGTTACAAAATGCTCATACTGACATTAACTCATTTAATTCTCCCAAGAAACTATGAAAACCCCAACAAAAATTAAATTCAGTTTTTAAGAAATCAGAAATCATGGTCATTTTTATTCTACCGAATCTACTGAGTATATAAACTATATGTATATTTATCGATTTAGTTTGCTTTTTTGGTCTCACATCCTGGAATTCTGCAAGAGAGCTATTTTGAGTCTGAAACATTTTTGTGCATAGACTGTTAAGACGCCATTTGGTTTGTATGTCTTTTTTCTATTATTCAGTTTTAATGGTTTAAAAAACAAAGGTGATTTCAAAGGGTATCATAAACCTGCTCAAGTTTACATAAGTGGCAGAACAGGTTCTAGAATCTAAATTTCCAGATTCACAATATTTGCTACAATACCATAAGTTCCCAACTGTTGTTTCTAACTGGTGTTTCAACAACTCTAACAGGTAAGCTGTTCATCAAATGACTATAAAAACAATTTTTCTGGGGCTGGGGCTGTAGCTCAGTAGTAGAGCACTTGCCTTGCACGTGTGAGGTACTAGGTTCATCTCAGCTCCACATAAAAATAAATAAATAAAGATATTGTAGCAACTACAAATAAAAAGATTAAAAATAATGAAAAAATATTTTTTCTGATCTGAAAAAGAACATTTGTTTGCAAACATTCCTTTATCATTTGCAATACTTTTTTTTTTTAACACAAAAAGTAATCCCACTAGTCAGTAAAAATTTTTGGTAACAGATTTTTATGCAAATCTATTCCCGTGGTTTATACATACTACTAGATTAAGGAGGCAAGGTAGATCCCAGGTTGCTTGCATCAACAGGTCATGACTCATAAAGATTAAGCTTGGACTTAGAAGAAAATAGTTCCTCAATAACAAGGAGGAGAGAGAACATGGAGAACCATGAGAAGTACCCTGGATAATTCCTGGAAGGGAAGAAGTCTTAAGCAGAATGTTTTGTGGCTAGGACAGAGGTCAGGAGAAATTCGAAGGGTCAGGGTTTCCAGATCATTAGGCTGAATAAAGAGAAAGGTTTTCTTCCCCATCTCTAAAGAAAATTCTGTAGCTATTTAACCCCTCTGAACTCAGCGATTCTCTTTTATATTAAGCGGCATAATTCAATGTGTTTTTAGGTAATTTGATTTTTTTATTTAAATGTTCTACACCAAATCGAAAAGGTGTTTCTAATCTCTGTTTTAATAAAAGTATTTTATATAAAATGCAATGCATAGTACAGAGAAAAATCTTTGAAAATATCTTTTTAAAAAATATAAATTTAGAAATAAATATAGCTTACTTCAGTTGATAAATAGGTGGAGCTGTACCTGGATATTCGTTTGGTAGCATCACCTAGAATGCAGTTTAAAAACAAATCTGTTTAACAATTCATTATCGTTCAAAAATAATTATATTTATAAAACTAGCCACTGAACAAATTTCTATCCTGCCAAACTTATAATCATTGGTTTGTTAAATCTCAGAAGAAAATCACCAATTTATGCTTCTAACATTGAATATGTTGTTAGTGATGCTGCCAGTATTTTAAGGAGTAAAACAAATTATTTGCAGAGAAAGTAAAAATAATAATAATAAAAAATAAAATAAGGGCAAACAATGCAGAGTGTGGTGGCCCACACCTATAATCCTAGTGACTTACAAGGCTGATAGAGGAGGCTCGAAAGTCTGGGGCCAAGCTCAGCAACTTAGCAAGAACCTCTCTCAAAATTAAAAAAAAATTTAAAGAGCTTGTGGATGTAGCTCAGTGGCAGAGCACCCCTGGGTTCAATCTCCAGTACCCTTCCTGCCCCCCAAAAGAATAAGGGTAAAGAAAATATTTGAAAGGAAAAGGAAAACTTGTAACAGGGGCATTATGCCCTGACCACAAATGGATAGAGTAACACTATAAAATTTTCCAGATATTTTTCTGAAAAAATACTTAAAAAAATTTTAAAAACCCAAAACAAACCCTAAAAAAAATCTATTAAATATGAGCTGGGTTCAGTGGCACATGCCTGCAATCTCAGGGGCTCTGTAGTCTGAGGCAGGAGAATCAGGATTTCAAGCCAGCCTCAGCAAAAGCAAGGTACTAAGCAACCCAGTAAGACCCTGTCTCTAAATAAAATACAAAATAGGGCTGGGGATGTGGCTCAGTGGTTATACCCCTGAGTTCAATCCCTGACACCCACCCCTCAAAAATCTACCAAATATTATATATGAAAAAGTTATAGAAACCATATATTTTCAAATAAGTTTTATTACAAAAATAAAAAAACTCAACTTTAGCACCCTTTATGTTGAAAATACAGGCAGTCATCAAAGAAGATGTACTAAGAGAGAAAGCTACAGCTAATTTTTTCATTTATTTTATCCTAACTATAACTGATTCTCAATTAATAAAGAAATAGAGAATCTACTGTATGGATCATCTACATTGCTATCCTATTGTTCATTTTAAATATCAGCCATCCTTCCAGGTTCAGAAACTCTCCCATTATATGAATGGGATAATGAAAGGAAATGAAACTCAAATCTGTCCAAGGGACATGAACACATTTAATAAATGAAAAGAATTGGAAGAAGAAAGATTGAAACAATGCATGCACAATTTGAGGGTGATCTGAGATTTAACTATCTACATGTTTAATCAATCAAAACAAAAGCCAACAACGAAGATAATTTAGAAAATAACACATGCATGAATAATCATGAGGCTTCTATAGGCAGTCATGGTCAATACTGTAACTGGAAAATGGCTGTAGAGAAGCAGAAAAGAAAGAAAGAAAGAAATATATATATACATATATATATACCTGCAAGCAAAGTGTCCATTTGGGGTCATCTATATCATCGCTAATTCTAATACAAAATATTTTGGCACAATCATCAATGACACACCATTCCTCGCCATAAATGGCTGCCATTGCTTCAATTTCCTCATTCTGAAAGTTGATTTAAAAAAAAAAAAAAAAGTCAACAAATGAACAGTGTACATATACCCTTAAAACCTCTTCTCAGTACTTTATATGGTATTAACATTCAACATCACTATGTTGGATGGATTACTGGATGAGCCTTAATAAGCAAAAATGTTCTTAGCAGGAGGTCACCAAACCTCTCTTTGGGTGAGGGACACTACTACAATGAATGGAGCTGGCCACACAATGCCTTCTTGTGTTTTTGCCCCTTACCGAGCCAAAATATATATGCACTTCCATACCCTTTAGTGAGATTCACAATTAAAAAGACAAACTATGTTATTTTAAACAGATAACTCCCACTCTCACCACTAATAGTGTTTCCACTCTCCCTATATTCTAGTGGATATTCTATGTTGTTTTAGTTTCTTTTCATTCATTATTTTTTTTATTTTTTAAATTTGGGCACAGGCCTGGGGCTGGGTGGGGTTTTTTTGTCTTTTTGGTGTCCAAAGCCTCAAAATATTTCAGAAATAATAATTTTGGTGTGAGATTAAAAAATAACTGGACCAAAAGGTGAAAAATGGAGAAAAGAATATATTCAACTCTGGATCATCTCATTTTGTCCTCGAGGCCCTGGTGGAAAAGACTTAAGAGGGCCCACGTGAATCTTACACAGAAGAAAGCTCAAAATCAAGAGAAATATAAGATTTGGTGGACTCTCTGGAAATTCCAGGGTCTGTGTTATTGCCCATATTTGCAAAGGCTGAAACCAAGGGTCTGAAGAACCTTGTCCAAGGTGACCCGGGAGACAGGGTGGGATGCAGAACCCAGTTTCCTGCCTCCGGCCCAGAGCTGCTCTGTCGCGTGCTAATGGCTGACGAGGACACCGTCCGAAGTAGGCCAAACCCCGAAGACGCTGAGGAACAAGACGCCGGGAGCGCTCGCCAAAGGGGAAGCGCCAGGAAAATGGAATACGGTGGAGCGAATGAACGGCGCGGCCGGGCGGCCCGGGCGGTGCAGGCGGGAACCGGAGCGGCCCCGGGCGGAGATGGCCCGGGACGGCGAGGCAAGGCCGAGCTGAGCCTGGGGGTCAGCGCCCCGCCGGGGCCTCACCTGCCTCTGGTCGCTCCCTGTGTCCCCCTCAGCCATGTGGCCCCGGGAGCGGCCCTGCGGCCGCCGATACCCAGGTCCGTAGAACGGGGGAAGGGAGCCGCGGCGGCTAGATGTGCGCTGGCTGCGGCGCGGCCCGACCCGGAACCGCAACCCGGTAGCGCCGCATAGCCCACATCTGCTTCCGGGTTGCGGGCCAGGTGGTGCGAGGGGCTCCTGGCCCCCGGGCTTCGGAGGAACGCACGTCCGCGCCTTGCGTCCTCCCGGCCCTTCAGCGTGGTGTGGACCCGGGGGAGGGCGGCTGACTTCGGGAGCTGCGCGAGGCCTTCCGGGGTGTGTCTTCCAGAAGTTCTCAAGGGTTGGGGGCTTCTGCTCTCCCACTGCGGCCTCAGCACGGTTGGAACCCCCGGGGGACGTTGGGCATTCGGGTTACCTGCCACATTTGGGAACGGACTCAGTCTCAGGCCCCAGTCTTTATGTTTCAATGCAGGGGCTTTGTTTGGTTTTGTTTTAACATGTTTTAAGTTATTTTGTTTGATTTTTGCAAACATGGTTCTGAGTTACCAAGAGCAGCAGAGGACAGGCAATTTAGAAACATTAAGGGGGAAACCTTATTATCTCACTGTTGTGTTGCAGTTTTTTTTTTCTAACGTCCTTGAACATTTTGTCTGAGAATGAGTTTTGAAGGAGATACTGGTTATACAATTAACATAAGGCTCATTGTTTCATTATTCAAAAAATTTGAATCAGTATGTGTCATTCTTATCCACCTCCAACACACTCAATGACACTTTGCAGTACATTAGTTACAAAATATATTGGTCACCTTCTACAAGACACATCAATGGAGGTGTTCATTCTTATGTTTAGAAGGTATTTTATCCACTCTCACTTCTCTCTCTTTTTTTTTTCCACACACACACATAGGAACACTCTAAATACAACATCTTTCCTCTCTCTTAATAATGAGCATTTCTCTGTCCCCCTTTGGAACGCTTCTCTGAGGTAGGCGTGCACTGGCAAAGTACCTAAAATTGTTAATTTAACAGACTTATTTTAGTATGCCAAACATTGGAGGTGCAAAATCAAATGTCGTGCATTGCCTTTGAGAAACTTAAGATTTGGGGGGGGGGGGGGGGAATAAAAGTAAATCAACAATAAAAGTGTCTTAGAATATCCTGTATATAGTTTGGCAAAGAACAGTGGGAAGACCTTTGCAACTACCAATTGTTCAACAGCTTTCTTTCCTTCTTTCACTCTAAACTCCTCCTCACCACCCTCTTCATATGACTTACAACTTCTACTGCATAAAATAATGCTTTTCAGGGCTGGGGTTGTGGCTCAGTGGTAGAGTGCATGCCTAGCATATGTGAGGCACTGGGTTCAATTCTCAGCACCACATATAAATAAATAAATAAATAATGAAGATCCATTGACAACTCAAAAAATATTTTTTTAAAAAATAGTGTTTTCACACTTAAACATGTTTTTAAAAAGACCGTAGAAGCCAGACATGGTGCAAGCCTATAGTCCCAGCTATTTGGGAGTCTGAGGTAGGAGGATTCTGAGTTTTAGGCCAACCTGAGCAACATAGGAAGACCCTGTGTTTGGGGGTGTGGGGAAGTGGGACCATGAAATCCATTTTTCAGTGAAAGCTATATGTGAAACAAATCAGGTTGTTCTGGCTGAAATAATGATGGGCCCAAAATTCCAACTACTAAGCAACCCTTCCTGTCTCAGTTCCCTCTCAAGGACTTGAAAACTCAATTTTGAAAGCCACTGCATTAAACCTTAACGTTCTAAACATAGTGCAAAATATTACACACAGTACCTCTGTTCCCGCCACATTACAGCAACCCAGTTGATACTACCTTTTGCAGATTATAATCATTTTCTATTGATCCCTATTTCTTCATAAATACAACCTTTAAGTCTTCTGAACTTAAATTCTAAACAGAAAGGACTTTACAGCAAAGGACAATGGTGGTGGTGGGGGAATTCTCTCCCTATTTCTCTAACCTGCTTAGCCCCAGACTTGAATATGCAAGGAGCACTTTGGAAAAAGGAGAGAAGTGATTACTGAAGTTAAAAGTGTTGCAGGCAATCCGTATTTTGAAGAATATATTGGAAAGAAGCACAAATTTATAGAGAACTCATTTGAAAAAGATAGCTTGGTATGAACCCTGAGCAATTGCATAAGCAGACTCTGGGACTGCTCTACAAATAATAATGGTCCTGTACTGGAGGAGTTTCTAAGCTTGATTTTGCTGATTTCTATGTCCATGTACTCCAGTGGGTACTTAAACTCAGTGTTTAAGCTCAGTGTATTCAAAACAGCTCAATAACCTTCTAATATTCCTCCTCCTGTGTTCCTGATTTAATAAGTGGCAACCCTCAAAACATCAATGATTGCCTAAGCTTGAAACTTACAAGACATTGTGCTCTCTAAATTCACTCTATACTCTTTTCTTAACTCCATCTCCAGAGAGCATGTTCTTATAATTCCGGTTGCTTAATATCTATTGTAATCCTTCTTATTCTCCTTCCTGTCTCTCTGATTCCATCTGGATACTCTTCAAGTTATTCTTACTTCTCTGCTGAAGTAATCATTCAAAATACACAATTCTGGACATGTCTCTCCTTCCTTGAAACCATTCACCACTCCTCCTAGCTCTCATAATAACACTTAAACACCTTAACTCACAAGGTATGTTTCTGGCCTTCTCTCTAATTTTGTCTCCCATTTGTTTCAGTCATACCTACTTAATCTATTTTACTTAAGTTTTGCTTGAAAAAATAATTCCATGGCTTCAGAAAAATATGAACATCACTATCTTAAACAATAGTATGTAAGGAATTGAACCAAAATATGTCAATAAGTCTGTGACTAGAGTAAGGAAGGGAACAGATCCTGTTAAAGAGAGGTGGACAGACACATGGTTAGGATGATAACTGCAGAAGTCCTGAGACAATGTGGAGGAAATATATGTGGCTGAATCCCTCAGGACTCCCACCAAGAAGAGAAATGGTGAATGGCTGCACCAGAATTTCTACACAGTACAGATTTTGGAGCCAATATTGTTGATGTTTTCATGTGCCTAAGTTTATATTTTAACAACTTGAAACTTTTTGCTTAATATTGAGAAGCAATCTAAACCAAAGGTATATGATTGAGATTAGAGAATACCAAAGCCCTATCTTGATACCAAAATGAGTACACATATGTGGAAGATACAGAGATGGTCATAAATGGTTATGCAGGTAATGTGAAGGGTTTGGCAGCTGAGATTTTATGGGAGGGGTGGGGGTAAGTTAATGGAAAAAAACCTAACATGAAATTGTGTGTGTCTGACAACAACAGTTATGTCATCGGAGCTAAGATATTAAGTCTGTGAAGAGTGTATAAACCTATGGTTTGTACTGGATTTTCCAAGTGTCTCTAGGCCCTTGCTACTCAAAGTGAGATCTAGCACCCAACAGCATCATCTTTAAAGAATGCTTCTTAGAACTACAGAAAGTTGGCCCCCTTTCAGATCTACAAAATCTGCTTTTTAAGATTCCTAGGAGATTTGCATGCATATTAAATTTTGAGAACCTTGCATGATGACCAAAAGAAAACACCTCTTAGATCTTAGACAATAGGGAGAGTACTTGACTGATGGTTCCAGATATTATGTTCTATGATCTATTACTACAGTAGAACAAGAACATATTCTTCATGGACTGCTATCAGGTGAGAACCTGGCAGAATTAGAACAGCAGGCTTATTCTTGGGAGATATGACACTCCTCTGATGCGAGACTTGAGCTCCAGACTCTGCTGAACTTTCCTTAAAACTACTGCCATACAACTTTCCTCCTTTTCCTTTGTTTTCCTCATTAACTCAGGGTCATATTCATATTTGATGATTCACTGAATCTCTTCAGTCTCCTTCCCAATTTTCTCACATAGATAATTCATTTTTCTTACACATTTAACTTCATCTTCATGTCTTCCTCTCCAGGATCCAGACTACTGAAAGCTGCTTTAGAGCACACTGTTCACAGGTGAATTTTTGTCCATATATTACTTGAAATAATTATTTCAGAGGCCTCTAGGCTCAGATGATTCCAGTGCATTGGGTTCCTTCATAAGCAAACTGAAACCCAACTAAATGTTAACTTAAGTTTAACCCATCAGAAACCACTATCTAACACCTAGCCAGAGACTTTACTAAGCAGAAATTACCAAACAACCTCTAACTAGGGACTTTGCGCTTTAACCAATAGAATACTTTTTGTCTTTTTTCCACAAATGCCATATAAAAGTTTCTTCCCCCAATTCCTTTGGTAGAGCACTGAACTATGTGTGATCTAGTGCTGCCCAATTCATGAATAACTTAAAGATCAAATAAGCTCATTAAAGTTTTAATGTGCCTAGATATATCTTTTAATAATATTAATTTGTGCTGGTATGGTGGCTTGTGCCTGTAATACCAGCTGAGACAGGGCGATCACAAGTTCAAAGCCAGCCTCAGCCACTTAGCAAGGTCCTAAGCAACTTAGCAAGACCCTGTCTCAAAGGAAAAAAATAAAAAGGGCTGGGGGTGTGGCTCAGTGATTAAGCGCCCCTGGATTCAATCCCAGCTACCAAAAAATATATAAATAAAAAATTATCTTATAATAATATTATCTATTGTGTAAATATTTTTCTTAGGGCAGTATGTCCTTAAGACACAAAAACATGGGCTGGGGTTATAGTTTTTAATAGAAGAGTTGTGCTTAGCATGTGTGAGAAATTGTGTTAGATCCCTGGAATGCCCCCATCCCCCAACACACACACATACATGCACACGTGATTTTTTTTTAAAAAGTACAAACCATCATGATATACTATTAATGATATTCACATGTTTTTCTTAGCACCAGACAATGAAAGCCAATGTAGCAGACTACAGGTCAACAAACTTGGAGGCTATTGTTTCTCTTTGTGCCATTTATTACCAGGTCCACAGTGTGATATACTATAGCCAGGAAAAGTCATAAAGATACAAAGATTAAAATGTTAGATACTGGCCTAGGGATGTAGTTCAGTGGTAAACTACTTGTCCATTATGTATGAG